AAAATTAAGACTGAACTAGGAGTAACAGAAAAGAAATAAGCACAACAGGTAAATAAAATAAACATAAACAGAAGGTTAAAAAAGAAAACATCAAATGTAAAGGATTTATGGGAAAGCAGCAAATGCAGACATTAGATAAAGATCTAACTGGCATAGAGTAGGAGCCACAATAGAGAAATCCAAACCAAGGGAATAGAACAAATAATCAAAACTATAATTCAAGAAACTTTTCCTGGTGTTAAAAAATTTTTTTGAAGTGACATATTAGAAAGAAACAGCATACCTAAGAATATTGCCCCAGAATGAACATTAAAACATAGCCTAATAAAATTATTGGACTTAGAAAAAAAGGAGAGACCTCTTGAGAACTATGTAGTCCTAAATTTCCCAATTCTGTTTGAAAAGACATAGAAACAATGTCTAGCTAGGCTAGAACGATGAGCCCTCTCTGTCACCTGATTTGTGTTCTTGAAATACCATTTCCCCCACTAAAAGAAACCAAGATTCTTAGAGAAATGATTGATCCCAGGTGCAAAGAATAAAATGTATGAATTGAGTTCAGAACATCTTGTTATATCAGATAGCAAGGAAGGTATTAGAGACTACTAGCACTGTGTCAAAAAGATTCCAGAGACAAGGTGAAGAAAATCCCACAGGCTAAAAATAGAAAAATTTGATTACCAAAAAGATAATAACTGCAATGGATTTAAACACATAAAATATGCTTAAATTGGTGTTACAAACTCACCAATATAATTTAATAATGATATGAAAGAAAAATAACCAGTCACCCTAGGAAGATAACAGGAAACCAAATTATTATTTTTGAAAATTAGAAAATGAAGGTGATGTTTTTAATGTTAACTATATTTGGGTACACAAACCTACGTATTTGATAAAATTGCATAGAACTAAATACACACACAAATGAGTATAAGTAAAACTGGGGAAATCTGAATAAGATCAACAGATTGTCCCAGTGCCAATATCCTGGGTGTAATATTGTATGATCATTTTGCAAGATGTTCCTCGTTGGGGGAAATTGCATAAAGGGTATAACACGGGATCTCCCTATATTATTTCTTACAACTGCATTGAATCTACAATTGTCTCAAAATAAAAAGTTTAATCTAAAAATCTTCATTAGCAAAATATTCATGGATAATGAAACACTGAATATGTTGTTTAATAAGAAATTTTCTTATGAACATACTTCCCTCATGAATGAAGAGTTCTTACAAGTCTACCCTCATGTGCTCCTCAACCTCTGGCCATTCTACACTGTCAGTCTACAGGTACAGCAGCAGGGTGACAAAATTAACATTCCTTACAAATTTAACTTTCCTTTACTAAAACTATATAGTTTGTTTTAGTAAAATATTTGAATTTGTTTTAGAAATCCTTTACAATAAGCTAGTCATTTATGCATAATCACAAATAATTAATGATAAGTAACAACCATAATGCTAGTAACTGACGATGATGTTGTTGGTAACAACTGACGAGGTTGTGGTGATGATGATGATGATGATCGTGATCAAGATGATAACAGTGACAGGATTGTTGGTGGTACAATATTCCAATGCTGGCATTAGACTCTAAGTTTACCTCCCTGCAAGATGACTCTACCAATAAAGGAAAATTAACACACCTGAGAGACATAACATGCTTCACAGAGGAGGTCTAAACCAAGACTCTAATTGCTCCAGTAACGAGGACCCTAGTTCCTGAGTGGTTAAATCCCAGGAGATACTCTGCCATATTTATGTAAAGAGAGTCCAAAGCTTCCCAATGTCAGTGACCCACTTCTCATGACTGTGCTGCCCCTTTGAATAAATTTAGGACTAGAATCTATGTGGTTCTTGCATTTCCTGACTGTTGAAACCACAGCATCCCCTAAAATTTCCAGGAGATTGTGCTCCATTTTTTCCTCAACACAGGTATTTAATTACAGATTTAAAGCAACTGTATGAGAAAAATATTTCTTCCATGAACTCTTGTTTATTATGTGGGCTACTTACAATTGTATGTTTACCTTCACCTCTGTGTGTTTTTTTCTCTCTGTGCTGTGTTCTCATCAGAAGTAATCCTGAGCCTCTGATGGCTTGGTAAAACTGGACGTAATAACTGTAGTAGCTGATATGAAATGTGTGGTTCATGTTTGCCTATCTTATATTATTAGAGGATTATGAGAGTGAAAAATTAAATCAATGCTGTCTAGGATGCTCCTGTACAATGGTGTTTCTATTTGTACTACACTCAGTGAATGGTGTTTACTCTGTGCTACTTTGTAAGGCACTTTTATCTATAATAATAGTTATTCATAAGGTGAATTTTCTCTATTTCTGCCTCATTTTAAAACGCAGAGATTAGGTATAGGAGATGAGTATTTTTAATCTACTGTTATCTAGAAAAAACCTTTCTCCTTTGTAACAAATGAAAATAATACATTTTCATTGTAATAAATAGAAATAATGCCTTATACAAAATGTTTGGGACTAGAAATATTTTGGATTTCAAATTTTTTCAGATTTTAGAATATTTGCATATACATAATGAGATATCTTGGGGATGGGCCCCCAGTCTAAACATGAAATTTATTTGTTTCATATACTCCTTATACACATAGCCTCCAGGTAAGTCTATACAATATTTTGAATAACTTTGTACATGAAAAGATTTTTACTTTGTTTGAACTGCACTCTGACACACAATATCAGGTATCAAATTTTCCACTTATGGCATCAGGTCAGTATTCAAGATCCTAGATCAAGATTTTGGATCATTTTGGATTTTGAATTTTCAGATTATGGATGATCAACCTGCATTCAAAAAATCTCAGTTACCTCTGATACTAGTTACTATAAAGTTAAATGCTTCACCACCAATAATTTAACATATAAAATTTATAATGCAATGCAAATTTTGTCTTCATACCACATCCTAGGGATTTTAAAGACTCTTTCTTACTCCTAAGAAAAAGAAATACAATTAGTGCCAGTTATTATTGTTACAGAAATCAAATGATTTATTATATTTTAAAATGCTATATAATAAAAACAGATTATGAAATGTTTGATAAATATACATATATATCTATATGTATGTAAATACACATAGAAAAAATCTAAGAGGCTATTCACTACCAGTGTTAGGCTCTAAGTAGCAGAAAATTTTTTTTTAATTTTTGCTTATTTGCATTTTTAATTTTTTATATTCCATGTATATTGCCTTTATAACTTTTAATGCATCCAATAAGATCCTGTTTCTATATTCAAAAATTTTATAATTTTACTAAATAATAATAAAGTGCTACACAAAGATAAACTATGATAAAACAATATAGTTCAGTGAAGACAAAATAGACTGGTGGATAGAAGTCCTGGGTTTTAGGCCCACTTCTGCTTCTTATTAACTCAGATAACTTGAGTAATTTATTTAACTTTTACAGCTTCTGTTTCCTAAAGAATGGAAAAAAACCAGCATTCTTCTTTTTTCCTATGCTATGCATATACTAAGATATCAAGTATAAAGCATGTCTCAATCACACATTGATTAGAGCTGTGAATGTGTAAATGTACAGATTTATAAGGCTACACAGGTAAGACAAGAGAAGAAGCTCATGATCAGGAGAGAGCAGAAGTAAATTTCAGTTCCAAGTCACCTTGGGCAACTCACTTCATATCTTGCACTTCAGTTTTCTTAATATAAAAATGGAAGTAAAAATACTTATCTAAAAACATTTCTACCCAGACTCAAAAATTTAGAAGTTAATGAGATTGACCTTTGAAAGTCATATGTAAGCTATAGTACATTATACAAAAGTTAGTAATTATATAACCAAGTAATTAAAATAGAGAGAATTTAAGTTTTTTAGCTTAAGAAATGCATCCCACAAATGAGGATATCTATATGTATTGTTTCCAACAACGATTATCCATGATTCCTAGAGGAGACATGTCTGCAATTTGAATATTTTGCCATTAGAGATGTATTAATAATAGTACCATGGGTTGATATTACAATCTGAAAATAAGAAGAAGAAGCTATTAAACACTTACTGTGGACAATACAATGTGCCAGAGCCCAGGCTACACCACAGATAAATTAAATCAGAACTCCTATGTGTAGAACCCAGGGTAATTTTTTTAAATGCCCCAGGTGATTGTAATATATAGCCAATACCGAGAACCACTGCCTTAGGGCCTTAAGTCCAGTGTAAAACTAAGAACAAATTCCAGACACTTAATGACAACTCACATTTTTATAGGAACTGAGTATTTGAAAAAAGGTTTCTAAATATGTATTATCATTATCCTATGTTATGTTTACAACCTCCTTTGGAATTGATATTGCTAATTTCTTCATTGTTCAGATATAGAAATTGACATGTCACTCAATGATACACCTTGTAACTACCTTATCACCCTGACATTGCATCAATTTGAGATAGGTATTCATACATTCACACTCAGTGAATATTTAGGAATTCCATACATGACAGGGAAATCTCATTTTTGAAGCAAAATCCATTTCCAACTACAAAAGTACTTCTTAGTATGTACAGGGTAGAGGTTCTCCAACCTCACTATAATATAAATCAGGATCACTGGAGAGATTGTTAATACACTGATTACTGGGCCCCATCCCCAGAGTTTCTAATTTAGTAGATGTGGGGGAGGCCTGAGAATGTGCATCTCTAACGAGCTCCAGGTAATGGCAATGATGCTGATCCAGGGACTATACTTTGAGAAACAGGGCTCTAGGGTATTTTAGAAACATGTGCCTCATAAAGATCCATATCTGGCCCATTTCCTCTCATCTTCATGATCTCTGAAACTCTCAGGGGCTGGTCTTCCTGCCAGTAAGAGCAGGAGTGAGGGGAGGGTACATCAGCAAAGAGCCCAGGATGGCTCGACTGGCACCAAAGGTTCAACACAAGTTTCCGCAAGCAGTCCAAGAGCAGCCTGTCATGGGATTCTTCTCTCTCATCCCCACAGGCCTCCCACCCAGAGGAGAATGGCTGCAGAAAATCACTCTACAGTGACAGAATTCATTCTAGGGGGATTAACAAACCGGCCAGACCTCCAGCTCCCTCTCTTCCTCCTCTTCCTCGGGATCTACTCAGTCACCATGGTGGGGAACCTGGGCATGATTACCCTGATCTGTCTGAACTCTCAGCTTCACACCCCCATGTACTACTTCCTCAGACATCTGTCATTTGTGGATCTCTGTTACTCCTCTGTCATTACCCCTAAAATGCTGGTGAACTTTGTGTCAGAGAATAACATCATCTCCTATGCAGGGTGCATGTCACAGCTCTACTCCTTCCTTGTTTTTGTCATTGCTGAGTGTTACATGCTGACAGTGATGGCCTACGACCGCTATGTCGCCATCTGCCGCCCTTTGCTTTACAACATCATCATGTCTCATCCAGTCTGCTCCCTGCTGGTGGCCATGGTCTACACCATGGGACTCATTGGCTCTACAATAGAGACTAGCCTCATGTTAAAACTGCCCTTCTGTGATCACCACATCAGTCATTACTTTTGTGACATCCTCCCTCTCATGAAGCTCTCCTGCTCTAGCACCTATGATGTTGAGATGACCGTCTTCCTTTTGGCTGGATTCAACATCATAGTCACCAGCGTAACAGTCCTTGTTTCCTACACCTTCATCCTCTCCAGCATCCTCCGTATCAGCACCTCAGAGGGCAGGTACAAAGCCTTCAGCACCTGCAGCTCCCACCTTGCAGCTGTGGGGATGTTCTATGGCTCGACTGCATTCATGTACTTAAAACCCTCCACAGCCAGTTCCCTGGCCCAGGAGAATGTGGCCTCTGTGTTCTACACCACAGTAATCCCCATGCTGAACCCCCTGGTCTACAGCCTCCGGAACAAGGAGGTAAAGGCTGCCATGCAGAAAACACTGAAGAGAAAACTGTTTTGATGCAAATGTTATTGATCTTTTTTCAACTTAAAAGTAAATCGTTATAAATATCAGAGAGCTGCCCTCTGAATGCTGGCCCAACTGTGAAGGGGAACAATCACTTCTCCACATGGCTGGCTGAATGCCTTCTCTCCTTCTTTCCTCTTCTTTCCCCCCTTTCTTCTCTAATTTCTGCTTGAAACTGGCCAACTTCAAGTTCATATTTTCTTTCATCTGGGAGCTAATTCCTCTATCCTGAACCCTTTGGTAAATATTTACTACCTTAATTGTAATTTAACTTGAATTTTAAACTTTCAGCATTGAGTTTCAGAGTCATTCATGGTTTTATTACCTTCTATATAGAAAATATTACCCAATCCAATTCTTACTTTTTGTACTCAGGAGTAAACAAGACAAAGAAAGGTAAATTTAAAAATCACCAAGAAGGCTGGGCATATGGCTTGTGCCTGTAATCCCAGCACTTTGGGAAGTTGAGACAGGAGGATCACTTGAGGTCAGAAGGCCAAGACCAGTCTGGGCAACATAGCAAGACTATATCTCCACAAAAAATAAAAATAAAAAAATCACCAAGAGGTGATACACTGTCCCTTTCTTAGCCAGACTTTTTCCTTTCCTATCTTTCACTGCTCCCTACTTATTCCTGCCCAAGAATTTCTACCTGATCCCTTTATGTAACTTTCTTAGCAACAATAGTAATAATAATAGCAGCTATCATGTTTTTGGATGCTTACTCTGAGCCATGCAACTTTTATAAGTGCTTTCTATTTCATTTCAGTTATACCTCACAACAGGTCGGTACTACTGTATCCCCATTTCACAGATATGGAAATTTGGTTTAGGAATTTGCTCAAGGACACATAGCTGGCAAATAAACAACACTGAGATTCGAACCCCATTCTCAGTGACTCCAGAGTTCAGAGTCTCTCGGATCTCATACATTATTCCCTTCACTTTCCTGTCACTTTAGGATGACAGTCCCTTTAAACAGCCTATTAAGCCTCTGATAATTATGCTTTTCCAATTTCAAATGCTTTCTGAAAGTAATTTCTCAAATCCCCTCCTTCTATCATCTGCCCTAACCTCTTTCCCTTTATGGGCAACATCTAGAATAGAATGGGAGAAGATACCTAACTAGCATACATAATAAACTCCAGAAAATCAACAATAAAAAGACATCAACATCTACAGAAAAAAATGAGCAAGGTATATAGAACAGACAATTACAGAAGAGAAAACCCAAAGTACCACTGAGCATGTGAAGAGAGGCTCAAACCAATTACTAAACATAGAAGTGCAAATTAAAACAGTGATATATCTTTTTACATCTATAAGATTGGCAAAAATTAAAAAGCTGGATGATGTTAAGTGTTAGTGAGGAAGTGGGGCTTTAGGAACCCTCAAGTACTGTGGCTATTCTGGAGAGCAGTAAGACGTTCCTTAGGAAAAATAAGTATATATGTCCACAGGACATAGCAAATCTGGTCCAGGGTATATATAGCCCAAAAGCATTCTCTCTCAGGCCAATAAGACAGAATGTACAAAGACATTCTTTATACCTTTATCTTTGGTGCCAGGAAAGTAGAGACAAAAGGTGTCCACCATTGGGACAGTAGGTGTCCACCATTGGGAAAGTAAATAGACAAACTGTGGTGGAGACTTCACAGCAGTTAGAAACCAAGGATTAGGTATAGGCAATGTATTAATAGCTTGGAGGTATAGTGCTGTGTGAACAAAAGAATAAATATAGTGAGATATAAAACATAATATTATTTATGTATATTAAAATTTCATGTACACTAACCCCCAAAAAATATTTAGGAAGAAAAAAAATAAAATACACATTATGAAGGTTGAATGGTTGCCCAGAGAGATAAAAGGCGTGGAAGTCAGGAGTGGGTAAAAAAAGAAACATAAAACCAAGACAGGCCACATTCTGGACCATAAAACACACTTTAACACATTTAAATGAATAAAAATCATATGTCTTCTCTCAGGCCACAGTGAAATTAAACTAGAAATCAATAACACAAAGATAGCTAGAAAATCCTAAAATACTTGGAAATTTAACAACACATTTCTAAATAAGAAATTCTAAGAGAAATTTAAAATATTTTAACTATATGAAAATGAAAATAGAACTAATCAAAATTTGTGGGATGCAGCAAAAACAGTGCTTAGAGGGAAATTTACAGCATTGGCAAAGAAGATCTAAAATCAGCCACCTAAGCTTCCAACTTAGTAAACTAGAAAAAGAAGAGCCAATGAAATCCAAAGTAAGCAGAAGAAAAGAAATAAAAATTAGAGCAAAAACCAATGAAATCAGAAATCAACAGAGAAAAATCAATGAAACCAAAAGCTGATGCATTGAAAAGATCAATAAAATTGATAAGCCTCAAGCAAGGCTGAGGAAAAAAAACATAGAAGATATAGATTACTAATATCAGAAATGAAAGAGGGACATCACTATAGATCCTGTAGACATTAAAAGAATAAAGGAATACTATGAACAACCCTATACCTACAGACTTAATAACCTAGATGAAATGGACCAATTCCTTGGAAAACATGATCTGCCAAAACTTACACAAGATGTAATAATCTGAAAAGGCCTATATCTATTAAGGATATTTCATCAATAATTAATTGATTAAATAATTAATAACCTTCCAAAACAGAAAACACCAGGTAGGCTTAATGGGTTCACTGGTGAATTCTACCAAAATTTAAAGAAGAAATTATGCCAATTCTCTATAATCTCTTTCAGAAGATAGAAGCAAAGGAAATACTTCCTAACTCATCTATGAGGCCAGCATCACCCTAATACCAAAACTAGACAAAGATATTACAAAAAAAGAAACTACAGAGCAGTATCTCTCATGGACACAGAGGTAAAACTCCTCAACAAAATACTAGCAAATGAATTCAACAATGTATTAAAAAAATTATACACCACAACCAAGTGGAATTTATCCCAATTATGCAAGGCTGGTTCAATATTTGAAAATCAATTAATATAATCCAATAATCCAATACATCAACAAGCTGAAAAAGAAAACCACATGATCATATCAATAGATGCAGAAAAAAAAATTGGCAAAATTCAACATCTATTTATGATTTACAAAAAAAACTCTCAATAGTTTTGTAAATAGGGGGGAACTTCCTCAACTTGATAAAGCACTGATTGATCAACACTAAGATGCTGACACAGCAGTAATATTCTTTGTGGGTAGGGGAGTTGGGGGTGGGTAAATTCACAACTAATGGACGCAGTGAGCATCATAGAGGGGGAATGGCATGCCTGAAATCATGGTTTGGATGTGGCAAAGTCATAACATGTAACCAAAATGTTTGTACCCCTATAATTTCCTGAAATAAAAAAAAACAATATCTTTTTTAAAAACCTACAACTAATATCATACTTAATAATGACAAACTTGAAGCTTTTCCACTAAACACAAGGATGTCCCCTCTCACCACTGTTTTCCAACATTATACTGGAAGTCCTAGTTAATACAATAAGACAAGAAAAGGAATAAAAGATATACAGATTGGAAAAGAAGAAATAAAACTATCTTTTCACAGGTAACATGATCCAAAAGAATTGACCAAAAATATTGTAACTAATAAGTAATTATACCAAGGTTGCAGCATACAAGATTAACATACCAACTGCTTTCCTATATGCCTGCAATTAACAAGTGGAATTTGAAATTAAAAACACAATACTATTTACATTAGTACCTCAAAAAGTAAAATACCTACGTATGAATCTAACAAAATAGGTACAAGATCTATATAAGGAAAATTATAAAACTGTAATGAAAGAAATAAAAAAATAAATATATATTTCATGTTCATAAATAGGAAGACTCAATAACTCATAATTGCCAAAACTTGGAAGCAACCAAGATGTCCTTCAGTAGGTGAATGATAAATAAACTGTGGTACATCCAGACAATGGAATATTATTCAGTGCTAAAAAGAAAAGAGCTATCAAACCATGAAAAGACAGAGGAAATGAAAGAAGCCAATGTGAAAAGGCTACATACTGTATGATTCCCAAGTCTGGAAAAAGCAAAACTGTGAAGACGGTAAAAAGATCACTGGTTGCCAGAGGTTAGGAAAGAGGAAGGAATGGGTAGAGCACAGAGGATGTTTAGGGCAGAGAAAATACTCTGTGTGATACTGTAACTGTAGATACATGTCATTCTACATTTTTCCAAACCCACAGAATGTACAACATCAAATGAATGCTGATGTAAACTATGGACTTTGGGTGATAATGCTGTGTCAGTGTAGGTTGATCCATTGTAACAAATGGTATCACTCTGGTGGGCAATGTTAATAACTGGGAAGATTATGCATGTGTAAGGCCAGAGGGATATAAGAAATCTGTGTCCCGTCTCAATTTTGCTGTAAACCTATTCTCTAAAAAATAAAGTCTATTTTATTTTAGCAAAAGAAGAAATAGAAAGAAAAATTCATTTTTCCTAGACCCACCCTCAGGTGCATATTAGTCAACACGCCCAGGAGGCCCTGGATCAGGGCCAGCCACTGGATTGTTAAATAAGGAGCCAGGTAGGTAGGGCTGCCCTTGATATTTGTGAGGTCTGGAAAAAGACTATCTAAATATTTAAAAGTTATAAATCAAGCTAACAAAGTGTTAAATATTTTCCTTCTTTCTACCTTGACAAATATACCTTTATAACAAGCAAGAAGTCCAAGTTCAAATTTAGAAATCTCAGAATTCTAAGAGTTCCACACCAGAACGTAGTACTAAAGAAGGCTCTTCCCTGCTCCCAGCATAGCAGCCTGGCAGCATCCTCCTTATTAAAAATGCAAGTCCTCAATCCTTGCACCAGACCTAGTAAATCAGAAGCTGTCGGGCATGGCCCAGCCCTTTGTCTTCACAAGCTTCTTAGGTAATTCTGGTGCAGGCTAAAGATTGAGAACCACTGATCTGTCTGCTAGTCGACCAGCTGTCCTGATTACATTGGGATCTTAGGCCCTGAAAACATTATGGTGCCCAATCTCCCTCAGCATATGAAATTCAAAGCAAAATTTTAATATTTGAAATGACACAATAATTACATATATTGTGAAACTAGTTTCTTTCTAGTTTTTTTTTTAAGTCTATTTATTTATAATTGTTTTAAAATTGGAAAATTGTGGAGATGTTCTCCAAAACCTTCTTGGTGCCCTGATTTGCTGGTGCTTAAGCACATGCTTTGACTGCTTGTTTATTACATCCAGCCCAGCCCAAAGTAATGAAACTTGGTTGGTGTATGATTCATACTCACAGCTGTCTCACTCCAAATCCCGTGCAAAGAACAGAATCAGGTAGTGGAGACCTCCCCTGCAGCACTCGGTGGTAACAGTGACACATTGGCGTACTCCTCGGTCAGGGACAGAAGCCCACAGCTGTGAAC